ATGTTAGCTAACTCTTCATTTCTTAGAATTTCCTGAAGCAAACAGTGAAGCTAACCTAATTATTGGTTTACGGTCTTACCATCCTGGGCAAAATAATTTCCTGGAGCACAGTTACATCATGTTGACTCAATTCTCACTACTCTTATTTTCTAAACTTTTCTTTAGTCCCACTGACACCACCCTACTTCAGGCTGTCGTCATAATTTGCCTAGACTATTTAAAAAGCCTTCTAACTCACCTGTAGTCTTTCCCCCTCAGATTTATTTTCCACACTGCCACCAGAGTAATCTAACTATATTGCAACTCTGACCATGTCAGACCTTTTAGTGGCTTTCCATTGTCTATAGGATAAAATCAGGACCTTACCCTTGCTTACGCCTCCGACCTAATTTCTGCATTGCTCTTCTCCCATTGCTGCCTAGCATTTGACTTCATACATCTCTGCTTTTATCGATAATGTTGCCTTTCCCTGAAATATCTTTTCCCTCCTACTCCCCACTGCATGTGGCTAATTTTTGTTCTTCCTTTAAAACTTAACTCAGGCAATATCCCCTATAGAAACTGTTTCCTAGACTGTGCTTCCAGAGCATACTGTATATAGTGCTATTATTATATTTGCCATATTGTGCAGAAATTAACCTTTTATGAGGGGAGAGAGCCACCTAAAGGCAACTTGTTTTACTAATTTCTGTATCCACAAACATTAACAATAGAGCCCAGCCCATAGTAAGTTCTCAGTTTTTACAGACCCAAACAAATTGGGTCAGAGGGGAAAGACTTAAGGAATGGGAGAGAAGAGGTGATGATTTAATTTTAAAGTAAATGTATTTGAAGCAACATCAATGCACTAAAATGTAGAAATTTGAGTAAGACAGCAAGACTTAAAAGTACGATGGGGAAATCATAGTCGGGGTGGTAGTTTGTGTTGATTGATTATTTCTCTAAGACTAATAGTGTCAATGACAGAACACATATTGAGGACTGATGTTTGGAGAATACCCTTAATGTGTGAGAGAAAGTAGAGGAAGCCCTCAAAGGCATCAGTAGAAACAGAGGTGAAGAAGATAAATCAGAATAAAATATTGTGTGAGGGGAGGCAGGGAGGAAAGTGTACAAAGGAGAGCCGGAATCATGGTGTCACATTTTGCAGAGCAGTTAAGTTAAGGAGAATAAGAACTGTGAAAAGGTTTTCTCTATGTGGCAATTAAGTTGTATCTAGTGACCTTTGAAAATACTAGTAGAATGGGGATTTCATTTCTTTTTTTAAAATTTAGTTCGTAGGGCAAAATAAACTTTGTTCTCAATTTTTACACTTATACTTACAAAAACGAGGATTTCCCCAAGGGGTATGATTTTCTTTAGGAGTAAAATTCAACTTTGTTGAGGACTAATAGAAAATGTTACTTTGAATTAACATGTTTTCTATTTTTTTTCTTGTTATCTGTTTTTATTTTGTAAGCAAGCTCATTATACACATAGATTACTTGAAAACAATGTTCGGTCTCTCCCTGGTGTTGACTGTTATTTTATAGGCCAGTGGTAGTTACTCTTTATGAAATAACAAGCAAGATATTATCATTATATATTTATATTATGATTGAATCACTAATTTTCAAAAATATCCAGCCATGAGACCCTGTCCATAAACTTTTACATGGAACTCTGATGTGTAAATCAGATAAAGTGGTGCCTGTCTGTTTGAAACTGTAACAGGGACTGAAGCCCCTCCTCAGAGTTGTGTCTAGTGTTCTAACCTCCTCACTTGCCCTCCAAACAGTGGCTCCTGGGTCTCCATTGAAAAATGTAGGGCTGCCTAAAGCATAGTTCAAGAATCCCTGATATATAATAATCTTTGTAGAAATGCTCATAGCAAACCATTTTAGTACTGAAAGTGACAAGATACTTAGAACCCACATTGGTTGACACTTCCAGTCTATTCTCTTTTTGGTCACTAGACTGGTACAACAATAAATAGCTGCCCAAAGAGCAAATACGCTTATACTAGAGTTCTTTCTGCAGAGGTTGGGTGTCTTTCTTTAAGGGAAATTGTCAAAGTGGTCCCTTTGTCAGTGGGAGGTTGGCCTACTATTACATCTGCAGTCTCATCTAACACCGATGATTCTCTGGTCTTATATGTCTACATTTATCCTACCTAGTAAATATCATCTAATGTGATAGGAATTTATTTTATCTTTAATGTCTTCAAATGTATAGTATTCTGTATATATGTGACAGGCACTGTGTTAGGATGCAGAGGTACTACTTAGACAAATAAAATATAGTCTACCATTAAGGAAATAGAAAATTGCTGTAAGGCTTGACGAATACACTAATAGAAGTATGCAAAAGGTGTTAATGGGAATCATATGAAATGGAAGGACCTAACCCAGTCCAGGTAGGGGCTTGTCAGAAAAAAATGCTAGCTTCCTAGAAGACTTCTGAACTGACTCTTTAAAGATGAGGAGACTTTAACCAGAGGAAAATAGGGAAAGGTCTCTCTAGGTAGAGAGGGAACACATACAGAGGCTCTGAAGGTGGGCCTGCCTCTTTGGCTGGAGCTTAGCTTGTGAATGGGGACTGGAGAGTGAAGCCAGATGAGTGAAGCCATGCGTAGGGGTTTGGACTTTGTCTTAAAAGTGATGTGAAGCAATTAAAGTTGTTTTTTTTTTTTAAAATTCTTATTATTTTTTATGGTGACATTGGTTAACGGAATCCAATAAATTTCAGCTGTACACTTTAACAGTAAGGCATATACATATTTACACTGTTTTCACCTCCCACAGTTAGATTTCTTTCCGTCACCACATATTTGACCCCCTTTACCCTGTCTATCTTCCCCCTCCCCTCCACTCCTTAACTTCTGGTAACTACTAGTCTGTGGTCCATGTCCATGAGTCTCTGTCCTGTTCATTTATTGCTTTTAGCTTTATAACCCACATATAAGTGATATCATGAGATTTTCAACTTTTTCTGTCTGGTTTATTTCACTTAGCATGGTGGTTATCTCGAGGTCCATCCATGTTGTTGCAAATGGCAGTATTTCATCTCTTCTTATGGCTGAGTAGTATTCTATTGTATATATGTAGCACAGCTGCAGTTGATGGTTTTTAAGCAGAGTAATTACATGGTCACATTTGAGTTTTAGAAAGCAATCTGGCAGTAGTCAGAACACAGTGAGGTGGACCTCTCTTGGAAGCAGTAAGACCATTAAGTAATAGACTATTGCAATAATTTAAGCAAAAATGTCCAAGGATAGTAGAACTAAGTTTTGGTGGAGGGAGTCGGGGACAGGCAATGAATTCAAGATGTACTAAGGAGGTAAAATCAGCAGAGTTATTGGTCAGAGAAAGGGTGAATGCAGGGATGACTTTCGGGTGTCTGGCTTGGCTAACTGGGTAGGGGTGTGGTCTCGTTTGCTAAGAGGAAGAAGAAGAAAGGAATCATAAAGGCTTTTTGCCTCAAGACTCCGTATTCCTGCCAACTTGAGCAGGAATATAGGTGTTTTTTATGTTCTTGTATTTGTGTTTGTATATATTTTTATATATGTTTTGTATATATGAAAGAGTATAAGGATGTATTATCAAGGAAAGTTATGGAATTCTTTTTGGAAGTCTGTTAGATTAAGGTAGACTCTCATTTAGCTTAGTTTAGGAATGAGTGATCTGCTTAAAGGTAGAGGAATGGACTACCTTTTGTCCAGTCCTTTGATTACTTAATATCTACTTCATATGTTCTGTAAATCAGTTTTGAATTGAGAAATAATAAATTCACTTTTAGAAAATCCAGAATGTTTACATTGCCATATGTCTGTCAGAATTTTTACCTTTTAAGAATCTGTGTGGTAAGATTGACTTGTTTGTGTAAATTAGCTAATTTGATAATAATTCACTGTGGCATTATGCATTTTAAAATACAAAATGATTTTCCTCAGAATACAAACTTTGATTTTCAAGTCTTTCATTGGTGACATGTGGGAATTTAATATTCAATCCCTTGCTATTTAACACTCCTGACAGAGAGTTATTTCCTTTACATAGCTTTGTCTCATCATTTTCTCAAGTTAAGGCTGGTTGAGGTACTTAAATCCTTTGGTGAAAGAATGAGCAGTGCTACTTAACAAAAAACTGGAGGTATTGGTTTTAGAATTTGTGATTTCCTCTGTAAAGGGACACTTATTCATTATCTTTATTCATTAGTTCTTGAGTGAAGTTCTGTTATTTCTTATCAGTTAGGTCTCGCTTCCCTGTAATTTTGCGGTACCAGCTGCACCTTTTAAAGCATTAGAGAAGTGCCTCTTACAGTTCCAAAACAAGAAACTGACTGTAGTTTAATACTTTAAATCTACAGAGTTAGTGATGAGACTTGACCTTTGTCATTGAAAACTGTTAGACTACTTTCATATCTGTAACGATTATAGATGTGAAAGTACATTCAGGTGTCACATCGCTTACAAGAAATGTCTTCTTTAGAATAATTTAGTCCTAGTGGAACATTTCCTTTAGGTATGTTTAAAGGAAACTTTATTTTATTCTTTTTCATAAAACATCTTTTATTAAAGGTGATTGTAGTCCCCGCTTTGCTTAGTGTCCTCTAATAGTAAGCCAAAAAAGTCCCCAAATTTAAGTATTTTAGAATGATTTTTTTCCTAATAAGTATAAACGTTTTCAGAAATTGTTAGCAGTCTGTAATTTGGCCTATATGTACAAATTTTTATTTTCAGGAATTAGAGTGGATTAAAGTGCTTGAAAATTCTCAAAATAATGTCTCCTCAAATCCTAGGGGGTTATTGTTATTATATTTAGTATTATATTTGTCTTCAAAAAGTGAAATGATTTGTTTGAGCTTAGTGTTCTTCAAAGAGGCAGTGTACTAATTGCTCATTTCCCCCAAACTAAATCTTTACTTTGGGACATTAGTTTTTTATTAGCATGGTAATCCAAAGTTTAAATATGTGAGATGGCAATAACTTCTTTTTCATATTTCCTTTATTCTGTCTGCAGGTTGTAAAAATTAAAATGAACAAACTACGGCAGAGTTTTAGGAGAAAGAAAGATGTTTACGTTCCAGAGGCCAGTCGTCCACATCAGTGGCAGACAGATGAAGAAGGGGTTCGTACCGGAAAATGTAGCTTCCCAGTTAAGGTAAAGCTCATGTTTCTATAAATCTATATGTGGGAAGGAATTGACAGTCTATTATGTGTGAAGTCTCATTAATTAGGACACTTAAAAATAAACCTCCAAAAATGAATCCCTTCGTATTTTACTTCAATGGTAGAATTAATAAAATAGATTATAATTTTTTTCTTTAAAGAGGATGTTTCCTTTGTATAGCTTTCCCAAATCATTTTCTCAAATCGAGATCTCTTTTAGGATGGTGGAATTGCTTAAATTGCTTCCGGCAAAAACTGAGCAATACTGCTTAACAGAAAACTGGAAGTATTGGTTTCAGATTTTGAGGTTTTGCTCTGTAAAAGGACACTTGTTCATTACATTTATTCAGTGGTTTCCTAAACCAAAATCTTTACTTTGAGATATTAGTTTTTTATTAGTCAGGTAGTCCAAGATTTAACTATGTGAGAGAGTATATATATCTGGTGTATTATCTGGAATCAATACAAATAAGATCACTTCTGATAAGAATATGAATCCTGAAGTATCTAAAAATCCCATGTTATCAAGAATCAAATTAATTTCAGTGAGATATACTTACTGAGTGGCAGGATAGAGGTAGTGGGAGTCTGCTTTCTTTAATTTTGTAATTTTTAATCATATAGAGGTTATTTAAACTAATGCCTTCATTTGTCACAACAGGAAATGGAAGCTCAAAGGTTAAGAACATAGTAAAGATCTAGAGAACAGTGTGCCATACAAGTGCTTTCTCTTATTACTACTTGAGACTTGGGAGAAGAAAGGTCATATTTAAGGACATGGAAGAAATGTACACGCTATACTGTTGAGTGAAAAGAGGCAATCAAAACTTACGTAAACACATGGTGAGATGTGTTATATGCGACAAAAAATAGAAGAAACTAGACCAAAATGTTGATCTCTTAAAGAAAAATTAGTTTAATATGAAATGTTAAAATTTTTTCTCTTATTTTATGTTCTTATTTTGTGTTCTTATGTGTGAATATTCCTATTGTGATTTTTCTCCTCCTTTTTACTGCCTCAGTACCATTGTTTAAAACATGGACTCAAGCTTCAGAAACAAGAAAAAAATCTCTGTGATGAGAAAAATGATGTGTAGAATCTACAGGTTAAATAAATATATGGTTATAAAAATACACAAATTTTCCCACAGTCTGTCAGTAACAGCATTTTCCTAATCACTTAGCTTTGTTTACTTATCTCATTTGCTGAAACTTTTATAGGAATATTTCAATTTTTAATATTTAGTATGATATTAAAATATGGAAAGAAAAAACCTCTCACTTAAAAACTAATACTCTTCTCTACTCCCCTCCCCCCCAAAAAAGAAGTTGGTGCATTTGGTTAAAAAGTTGAATATTATGTAGAAATGAGCACTGTTAGATACTCAGAGTATAAATTACAACCTCTTAGGAAGGCTGTTTGTAAATATTAGTTAACAATTTTAAATGCACTTTTCATTTGACCAGCAATTTTTTTTTACATATAAGAATTACATTTAAGTACATTATAGATATATATAAGTGGTCATCTTAGCATTGCAATAACAAAAATTTGGAAATATCCATCATTCTAGATTGGATAAAGAAATTATGACATCTGTTAAGTGCAGTTCTTTGCGACTATTAAAATAGAATAAGGTAGATCTGTGTTCATGTATTCAGTAAATTTCTTAGAACACCTGCTAGAACACCTCCTTTGTGCCAGACATATGCTAAGTGGTAAGCAAAAAAGACTTAGTTCTCATTCTTGTGGAGTTTATAGTCTCCTTGTGGGGAAGACAGACTTTAATGAGATATTTGCATTATTAATATATGAGTACAAACTGAGATAAATGCTTTTTAAAAAGAGGATCTGGTTCTTTAAGGGTATATAACAAAACATGACCTAGACTAGAGGATCAGGGAAGGCATTCTTGAAAAAATAGTTTTGCACTGATATCTAAAGATTAAGTAGGAATTAATTAAGTAAAAAGGTAGGCAGAACATTTCAGAATTACGGAAAGTGTGTATACATAGGCCCTGGGCGATAGTGAGAGAAAGGAACGATTTCAAGGAGCTAAAGGAAGTTGTATGAGATGAACCTGGAAAGAAGTGGGGCGGAATTTTGTAGGCCATGTTAAGGATTTTAGATTTTAAGAGTAACGGGAAGCCATTTAATGTATTGTTTTTCATTACTTATTTATTTATATTACTGTGGTAAAGTACACATAGAATAAAATTGACCATTTTAACCGTTTCCGAGTGTATAGCAGTGATATTAAGCACATTCACACTATTGTGCAGTCTTCACCAGCAGCCATCTCCCAGAACTTTTTCATCTTTCCAAGCTGCTGGGACTCTGGTTGCAGTGATGTGGAGGTAGTCCAGTGTGGATGTAAGGAGTCTAGCGAAAGATTAGTATTATAGTAATCCAGAGGGGAGATATAATGGTAGGCTGGACTAGGGTGGAGACCGTGGAGATGAAAAGAGATGAAGTACATTGAGAGGTAATTGAGAGATAAAAGCAACAGGAATTGGGCATGAACTGGATCTAGGGAATGAAAAAGGATAATATCAAGGAGGACACCTAGTTTCTTGTCTCAAACTGATAGAGGTGGTGATCATTGACAAGCACTGACATTGACATAGGAAACTCTGCATGGGCTTGTCCAGAAAGATAACTTTATGTTTATCATTAAGTAATAAAGGCAACATACAGAACAGTGTATAGAGTATGAATCTTTTCATAGTTAAAAAAAAGCATATACGCTTATATAAATGTAAGAAATATCTGTAAGAAGACACAAGCAACTCTGAACTCCAGAATAAGAATGAAGAATTGAGGATCTTTTACTTTGTAACATATATCCTTTGGAACTAACGACATTTCTTGTGAACATGAATCATTTATAATAAATAAGCATATATGTTTTTTAAAAACCTCACTCCCAGGATTCCGAGAGGCTGGTATACAGTGTTGAAATAATTGAAGTAGAATTAATTGAAGTACTTCTTCTAATTAGCTATGAAATATGTAACTTTTAAGTATTTTATGTGAGATAAATAAGATTCATTATTTTTCAGCGTACTTCTCATTTATCATAAGAAACTGCTGGATGGGATGTGCTTTAGAAATAAGCACCTAAGATAATTTTTATATCTTATGCAGATAAAGCAGCTCATTTAGGGTTTTTTTGTGTCTTTTCCAAATGGCCTTTTGAAATCCTTTCTACAAGACATTTATTCTCTCTGGTATGTCATGCCCTCCATACCCACCTTCCCTCCCCAACCCCAACCCCACCCCATCTTACAAACACACATTCAACTGCCCAGAGACAGAACCCGAACTCTTTTTTCATAACCTGGAAATAGATGCATTTCCTCGGTCAGCTATAGCTAGGCAAATGATGTCTTATCTGGCCTGGCCTGAGAGACCACTGAATTCTGAACTAGTGGTGAGTTGGTATGAAAAGCTGTTCGTGTAGGCAGCAGAGCAGTGGGCATGTTCACGGAGGAAGAACATGTTGGTGGGAAGGGGAGATGAGCTCTTGTTGAGGTTTCAATGGGTCATGTACATGCAGATCCCCACTGACCACAAAAGCACCATGAGTTTTGATTTTGAGGTTACAAATAAATTTTAGTGAGTAGGTGAATTTGCAAATACGGACTCCTAGAATAATGAAGATTAACTATATATAAATTGTCATTGAAGTCATGAGTAAGTGAGATTGCCTAGGGGAAGTGGGAAGAAGGCCTAGGACAAACAGAAGGGACAAGCAGTGAAGTAGATCTCTTCCAAGGAGAATAAGAATGAGCATCCAGAGATATAGAAGAGAAACCTGGAGAGTGTGGTCTCAGAAGTCCATGTTTCAAGGAAGGAGAAAGTGGTCAAATGCTATAAGAGATCAAGTAGGGAATGAAACTTCATTAGATTAAAAACTTGAAAGTCTTGGTGACTTTGATGATAGTATTTCCAATGCAGTCATGAGGATGGAATCTACATTCAGGAGTGAATGGTTGCAGAATAAGGAAGAAGACGACAAATCTAGAGGTTACTAATTCAAGAAATTTGTAAGACAAGGTCGTATGAGGATAAGGAAAGGTGGAAGGGACGTATTACAAGGGGCACAAGGCAATTTTGGGTGGTGATGGCTGTTTTATTATGTCGATTATGATGATGGTTTCTCAAGTATACATATTTCAGATACTCAGCAAATTTTATACTCTAAATATGTATAGTTTATTATATGTCAATTATATCTCAATAAAGTGTTAAAAAATTTTAACGCAAAAATTTGTCTTCAAAGGAGAGCAATAAAGGCAGAATAGCAAATGGAGTATGAGGTTGAGGAACTGTGTGTGTGTGTGTGTGTGTATGTGTGTCTTGTTTTTCTAACAGTTTTATTAGATACAATTACATACCATACAGTTTACGCATTTGAAGTGTGTAACTCCCTGGTGGCTTGATTTTGTGTTGAGTTTTGTTTTTAAGATGTGAGGGACTTGAGCATAGTTAAAGACTTTTACAAAGCATGTGAAGAGTGAATTAGTTTTAGACCGGAGGAAAGATGCTGCTTCTGTTGAACAGTAACAAAGGTAGAAAATAGAGTGTAAATGTACTTAAATTTATGGTGGTGGTGGGTCGTTGCAATTGATGGATTTCTATTCTAAAGACAGATTTTCTTAAGAAAATAGGAAGTGAAGCCATTTATAGAAGAGTGAGGAGAGAGAGAAGTTGTGGAATTAGATTTTGAAGAAATAGACTAGCTACTCCAGAGAATAGGAGATACAGGATATGTAATCACTAGGAATAAAAATGCAATCCTAGGCAGTGATCAAGTAAAACTATAACTAGTTTGGTTTCTGCCATGTATGTTTAAATATATTAGTGCCTATATAAGTATAATAATTTAGTATGAGTAATGGTGAAGTAGGCTTCAAAGCTTGTCTTAGAATTCTGTCTACTAATATAATACATAATTTTTTTAATGGAGAGAGAATTTTAATGTTAAA